AAACTTTTATTTAAAACAACTTCTCAATTAAATGATATTGTTTAACAAAAACTTTACCTCAGTGTCAAGTAGTGACATCTGGTGAGCAGAAAATTATTAGCCCTCATTAGACCCGGTAGGTAGCGCTCTTCGAGATCCAGAAAGCACCCTCTCGAAGCCGGGGCTGATCGCTAGTATTATATAGGATAACAAGTTTAAAACGGTAAAGTAAAAACGGTAACGAGATCAGTAGAGTAACCACGATTGATAAGCTAACGTTAGTTAAATCAAAAGCAAAACCTGTAGATGTAGTAGATGTTATAAAAAGAATATGACGCTATTTCAAACATTTCTGTAAGCACTTCTTGTCGTATGGTGGCGGTGTAAGAAAACCTGTTCCTCCATTACAACCCGTTGGTGTTGTAAAATGCGAATATATGAATATGCCAGAAGAATTTAATGGCTTTCAATAGATAGCAGTGTAATAATCACGGTAACTCCAGACTTAAAATACCCAAACTGGCGACTGCCAGCAGCAACAAATGTAAGAATACTGGGATCGCCAATCGGCTGTAATTATGACAAATCTCCCCCATTTATTCTTTAAGAGAGACCCATTTTTTTCAACCGACTTCAAAAAAGGAGGAGATGGTACCTTAGAACGTTTTCCTAGGTGAACCGATATTGATGATTTTTTTTATTTAAAAGCTGGTGTTTTTCATGTGGCCCCATATAAATTCGATCGAGATCTGACCAGTAATTATTGAGTTATCCTTAATTAATACCTATTTATACGTGGTTTTTAATCGTGATAGAGCCATGGTGCAGTTATATTATGGTTATAGGACGAATGGGTCGGCTCGACCGGGGAAGGACCACGCTCTCACAAAATACCAGCGTAAAATAGCAGCTTAACGCTGCTGTGTTTCGTATGGTGAGTGTAGAGAACCGGAGACCCTTTTTACTGGAAACGAGGCATTTCACCTTAGTCCTCACGGGTGACAACGCATCTGCATTTTGATTCGTAATCGAAGATAGATGTAGATGTCTATGGGCATCAGCAACCACTTACCATCAGATGGACTGTGTGCTCGTTTGTCACCCCTATCCTATAAAAAAAATATTGATTTCGACTATATTGATGTTCTCATTTTATTTATATTGAAGTCAGTTATACAAAGGTTTTAATTTTACTACTTGTTTATTGTAATGACTAACAAAGTTACAGTTCACTTTATGCTGAGTGCCTTCAGGAGTCCATAGACAACTGCAACCAACTTCAAATAAAGTAAGCTACAGATGCGATGGAAAATATGAGAACTAAGATGGAAAACCTTACAGGTTGTAATTACACTGCTCTCTGTACCCTTCTGTGTGTCTGTTATAGTCAGGCGAACTTTTTTTTTTACAGGAGAGGGGGCAAACGAGCGTGCGGGTCACCTGATGGTAAGTAACTACCGCCGCCCATGATCAACTGCAACACCAGGGCAAACCAGAATCGTAGATGCGTTGCCGGCCTTTTAAAAAGTAGTAGACTCTTTTCTTGAAGGTCCCTAAGTCGTATCGGCCCGGAAAAATCGCCGGTGGTAATCGATTCCACAAGGAAGTTGTGCGGGGAAGAAAACATCTTCTAAATCGCACAGTGGTGGACCGCCTATCATCCAGATGGTGTGGATGGTATCGGGAGTTCTGCCGCGATGTGCGTTCATGAAATTTGGCGGTTGAGATTAATCCGAACAATTCCTCAGAGTACTCCCCGTGGTAAATGCGAAAGAAAATCCATAGGGATGCAACATCTCTTCGCAGCGCCAATTAATGGAGCCGATCCGAAAGGACTCGGTCGTCGACGAAGTAGTAGAATAGCGTAAATTTAAAAATTTAAAAATACCCGAAAGGAAGTAGCTGGTGATCTTCAAACGGCTAAACCGTTTTTCGTGAAACATTAATAAGGACATTCTCGATTAAGACACCTTTCAAACGAAAAAAAAAAACTTAATCAAACATACAGATATACAGATAAACAAATACAAAAACATATATAACACCCCTCTGCTTTCGTTAGGGGTTAAAAATAATCTTACCACTTAGTCCAGTGGTTGACTGTTACGCGGTGTCAACCGGGTATACATGCCACACACATAAGCCATAAATGAAACTAATTTTTACGGATTCTATCGCGTTTACTTTAATTTTTTAATTCCCAACGTTTTGGGTGCTTTACAGCACCCATGGCACCGGGGGGGGGGGATGAGGTGTTTGAACTTGAAGCACCGAAGTCTGCAGTCTGTGAATATGTTCAAGATCGTCCCCGCATTACATTACATTTGATAGACCACAGTAAATATGAGAAACCATCATATAGGTAACTTCCATTAAGAGAGGCGTGAGAGTAGTGGGACAACAACTTTACAACTATATTTCAACTTTATACGTGGTAGAGCCATACTGCAGCTATATTAATAGTATAGTTGTAGCACGAATGGGTCGGTTCGACCGGGGAAGGACCACGCTCTCACAGAATACCAACATAAAATAGTAGCTTAATGCTGCTGTGTTTCGTATGGTGAGTGTAGAGAACCGGAGATCAATTTTACTGGAAAAGAGGCATTCCATCTTAGTCCACACGGCTGACAACGCATCTGCATTTTAATTCGCAAACGAAGATAGATGTAGATGTCTATGGGTCACAGCTACCACTTACCATCAGGTGGACTGTGTGCTCGTTTGTCACCCTTATTCTATAAAAAAAAACTATAAATTAGTTAACAATCTCTATATATAAAAATTAATTACTGTCCGTTAGTCTCACGAAAACTCGAAAACGGCTGGACCGATTCTTCCGAATTTTATTTGTATGTTTGGATGGGTCCTTGGATGGTTTAAAATACATTTCAATTGGACCTGGTAGGTGGTGCTGTTGTCGAGATCCAGATATCACCCGTGTAATCTAAATAATATCTAATTAGAGTAAATTACAGTGATATATCCGAAACTGTTAAAAATCCGTATTTATAGCTATGACATGTGTCATAGCAATAAATACGGATTTTTAACAGTGGTAGAGCCACGCGGCAGGTTTTGCTGTCGCACGGATGGGCCGGCTCGAACCGGGGTGGTAACACGACCTCACAGAAAACCAGCGTGAAGTAGAGGTTTACCTCTGCGTTTCGCTTGGTGAGTGCATGTGGCCGGAGGCCCTTTTTACTGGAAATGAGGCATTCCATCTTAGTCCTCACGGGTGACAACGCATCTACATTTTGATTTGTAACAGAGGATAGATGTAGATGTCTATGGTGCGCAGCTACCACTTACCATCAGGTGGACTGTGTGCTCGTATGTCACCCTTATCCTATAAAAAAAAAGTCTTGTTAGCTCGGTAATTTGTCTACGGCGTTGTAAGATCGCCGGTTCAAACCTCACAAAGATTAAGTAATTGTTCGACCTACAATTCATTGATCCTGGATGTGTTTTCATGTACAATTTATGTATAAATACGCCTCCACAATATAGGACGTAATCCTAATGTAACGTTGTTTTTTTTTTAAATATTTTCGTTCAATCTTCTTCCGTGTAGGTGAGTTTGCAGTAAGTGGATTTTTTATTAGTGTAACAATTATTTGACCTCTCATGTCGCCTCATTAGAACTACAATTGACCACTTCTATTCAATCAGTCTCTTAAAACGTTGAACAAAAAATTCTGTACGGACTTATCTGAAGGTCTTATAGCATTGCTGTTAATGAAAATAATTTTAAGATTTAAGAGCTTAAATAGACTTTAACCTTTTGGGCAATTCTCAATTATTTTATAAAGTATTTTTATATTATATATTTTAAAGTAGGTATTACAAACATGCATTTAAGTTCACGAAATGCGAGATTCCATATTTAAATATATGTTGTGTATGTATGTATGTATTTACTTTAAGTTTTTATATTGTTTATTTACGTTAAGCTTTTTAAGTAATAAATAAAAATAACAACTTGTTACATATTCGTTTTTATTATATACGATTTTCTCGTTACCCTAATTTTTACATCAAATGAATACATAATATCACATGTCGCTTTGCATAAGCAATCAAGTTTGAGAACGTAATTAATAAAAATATATGTATTTAAAGGTTTTTAAATATCAACAGACAAAACTACTAATTTAATGTACGTTCGTTTTATTCTTCTACGTTATCGTAACAGTTATAGCTTGGTTATATAGACGTACATTTCAACCCGGTGTTGGATTTTCTTTACTGCTTAGAGATCCCTCTGAGTACCTATCACCCCATTACTATTTTTGTTTTCTACTTAAAACTGAATAATACTCGTACTTCCGGGTGGATTTAAACAAAATTTTTAAACAAAATACTAGCAATATTCTCGCTAACCAATTCAGTTAAGCTTAAGAATGGCGTTAGGAATGGTTCCCGACAGTAGTCTAATGGTGAATTCGATCCCATGAATATTTGAGTTCGCACCCTACCATTAGGTTAATATAGCTTCAATTCTACTTATAAGATGAGTGTCTTGTTATCAATAAAAAAAAAACTATTTCAAATATTTGTAATATAGTCAATTTATAAAATGTCATTATTATTATCACCATCAGTCCGTAGAAGTCCTGTTTAATTTTACTTTTTGATATTTTTTCTTTTCTTGGTGTACAATAAAGAGTAATAGTTAGATTATTAATAAAGAGTAACAGATTATTATTATATAGAGTTACAAAGTTATGTTATCATCATGTTATGTTGTGTTTCTACTAAATATTATTAAGAATTTTCAGGAATATTTAGATTTAGAATAATTACAGTTATCGTCATTGAAATCGGTATTCATATGCGTAGGTATAACTTTTATCTTTTTAAATTTCTTTTTTATAACTTTACCTTAATTTAAAACGGAGGAAAACGCAAAATATTTTTCATTACATTATTTTATTTAAAAGTTTTATATTTAACATAAGTCATAAACATATTGATAATTTAACAACGAAAATTTCTTTTGCATTCTCTTCAGCCAGGCGTTATCTGCTCTGTTCTTCACTGTTTAGTGTTTCGAAGATGTGTTTGTACCAAAAGCCAACAGTCTTTCCCCACGCGCCGAGTGTTGATTGGTCCAATTTTAGTACTTCAGCGAACATTTTGACGAGTACATCCTTTAATTCCTATAGAGGCAAATAAATACTTTTGTTTATCATTATATCAAAGGATATCAGTGGAGCCGTGGTAACTCTGCTTGTGCTATGGAGTGGTGGCATAAGATGATCCACTAACCCTTATCGTTCCATGGGTATCGTAAGAGGTGAAAGAGGGAAACTGAAACAGGAGATGGGCAGCAGCATCTTCCGGACACAACTCCGAATCATAAAAAAAACTGCGGTTGCCTGTCAAGCGTAGCAACTCTGGCAAATATCCCCTCCCCCATGAGATAATTTTTGGGAGAGGCCTGTTTAGCAGTGGACATTTGATAGGTAAAACTTAGTAAAATATTAAAACCGTGATTACAAATGCTTGTTAAAAGTCCATGAATAAAAGTCACTGAATATTACATCTATTAAGACTGAGAGATGTAGAGACATAATATAGAAACGTGTTAACTCAGGGGCTAAGCACTACGCCGTAAATTTTATATGGCTCCACTAAAAATTGATGACAGAAATTTTAAGTGCCTATTTACCACGTGCTCGGCATTCTAAAATCGTCTGAAAAATAAATAATTTAAAATTAATAATTTTGTACAACCGACTTCAATATAAATTATTAAGTATAACTCAAAAAATATTGGTCAGACCTTGACCTAAATCAATTATATGGGACCACGTGTGAAGCACCAGCTTTCAAATAAAAAAAGAATCATCGAAATCGGTTTACCCAGTAATAAGTTATGATGTAACACACATAAAAATGGAAAGAAAAAAGAACATACAGTCGAATTGGGTACCGTCTCCTTTTTGCAGTCGGTAGAAAATCAAATATGTTGAGAATATATGAAGGCCCCAAACACGCGACGGACTCTTCCCGGATCCAAAAACCTTCTTAGTAATGAGACAGTTTGTTTTCACCGTAGGACATTTGTAAGCTGTTCTTTACTTCTGACTACTACCGACTTCAAAAAAAGGAGGAGGTCCTTAAGTCGTCTGTATTTTTTATGTGTGTTACCTCAGAACGTTTTGCTAGGTGAACTGATTTTGATAATTCTTTATTTGAAAGCTAGTGCTTCTTATGTGGTCCCATATATGTTTGATAAGATCAAGGATGCATATTTAATTGACGTCGACTACATTGATGATGTTCTCATTTTATTTATATTAATGTCGCATGTACAAAAATTTTTATTTTATCACTTGTTTAAAAAAATTGAAACTGAGCCTTACAAAGAAATTTTGTTCCCGGATTTTCCTCTTACGATGTGACTCCCCGAGCTTGTTCATCATAACAGCGACAACCTCCGGCTGGTTAAGGTTAGTGACGGCTTGGTTGAGTGCAGCCATCAGGTTGATGACGTGTGCCTTAAACTGGAAATTTTGGGCATACTCTTCTTCGGGCAATTTTCTTATCATTTTGAAGAATTCTTTGGCGTGCGGGTACGTTTTGAAGAATCTGTATCGAAAGAGAATTATTATGTAACGGATTTTTTTAGAATGCCGTGGTAGCTCAGATGGTTAGCGCTCGCTGTAAGCTTCACAATACTCGAGCAACCCGGGTTCGATCCCCGACGGCACCAATGAAATTGTTAATTGCAATTTTAAGTGTTGATTTACTACGTGCTCGGCGCTGAAGGAAAACATCGTTAGGAAACCTGCATGTCTGAGAAATAAGACAAAATACTTCAAAGACATGTGAAGTTCGCCAACACGCATTGGGGCAGCGCGGCGGACATTTCCTTGCCCTTAAAACCCTCTCAGAAATGAGAGGAGGTATGTGCCCAGCAGTGGGACGAGTAGGTTGCAACTTTATACTGTATATCTAATTGCATAAATTACCAAGAATCGTACATATATTATTGTTATATAACAAAATCGAGAGGTAACGTCGTACGTCGCACAACCCCTATCATTACAATGTGCGTCTGGATGTGAATCATGTACTACATGTATTTGTTGCCAACAAACACATGATACACAACGAAATTATTCAAACTTTATTTATGTAATAAAGAAGACATAAGCTGCAAACCTTTTGAGCAGTTCAGTGCCATTAGCCACGGAATCGTTGTAAACGGGTGCCCAGGAGCGCTGAACGGCGTAGACCTCTCTTCGAGTCAGTCCCGAAATAGGATTCACTTCATCAGGATTCCCGCCCCACCAAAAATTGCTCAGCCAACCGCCCATTGTACCTTATGCAGAACTATATTATATATTTGAATTGTATTTCATTATCTTACTCTAACAATTGGGTATTTTACACCTCAGTAAATTTTAAACTCGGTAACGGTTAATTTTTGATGGATATCAATTTTTTTCATTTACATTTCTAGTGTTTTCGCTATAGTTATTTGTAAATATTGTAATGGTAATATTAATAATTTAAAATTAAAAATTTTGTACAGCCGACTTCAATATAAGTTATTAAGAATAACTCAAAAACTATTGGTCTGACCTTGATCAAATTCATATGACCCACGCGAGAAGTACTTGCTTTCAAATAAAAACAGAATCATCGAAATTGGTTCACCCAGTAAAAGTTAAGAGGTAGCACACATAAAAAAACATACAGTTGAATTGAGTACCGTCTTCTTTTTGGAAGTCGGCAGAAAAGTGTTCGGACCCATTTGTCATTGCAATATGAGGTATATCATGCAATGCACACTTAAATGTACCTTAATGAAACAAGCGATAAATACAATTATATATTATTTCATACAACGTATATTATATACAGGAACTTTAATTCATAAACAAGCGACAAAAATAGCTTTAGTTTTCATGACAGTAAAATCATCGTTGTTTTGACGATTGGTAACAGTATTTCAATTTAAACGAGGTAGGATTTATGAAACAGACAGTAGGACGATCGATGGAATGGCATTCGGCATCAATATCTATTTTTAATATTTCTCCAGGCATTAATGACCTACTAGTATGGTATGATAAAGTGGTTGCAACTACATGACGCTATCTCATTACATATTTCACACTATTGTTGTAGATTGTAATTTAAGAAAAAACTATACTTAGTGTTACTTGCAAATAAAATACTTTTTAGTTGCTATCTCTTTCCTTTTTAAAAGTCTATATCACGTGTCATACATCCATTCATTAAAAACGAACTGCTGACTACCCGGACTACTATAGGTTGCTTCTCCTATAGGTTGCCTCATAGAAGATTTTGCCATAGTTGTCAACGCTTGGCCGGCGGGTGGTCTACCGCAGTTTTTTATTATTTTGAGTCGTTATCAGGAAGACACTGGTGCCTATCTCCTGTTTCAGTTTCTCTCGGTCGCCTCTTACGACACCCACGGGACGATAAGGGGCAGTGGATATTCTTATACCCCAAAGATGCGGTGACATACTCGTTTATATTAATTACCATAGTACAAATTTAAAACTTAAACAATAATGTATAAATACGTGATCTATTTTAATACATTTGTTTAATTTTTTTTAAGTGTTATATTTTATACTATACAACAAATGTAAATAAAACGCGATTAGTGACATAATCAATAAAAAAGTCAATAAAAGATGTCAGACATCAGTGATCGCCAATGCGCCTGCCAAGGGTAGCGATTGAGGCAATTCTTCCCTAAAGCGCAAGTGGCCCATGTTCAGTAGTGGACTTTTACAGGCTGGTGAAGAAAATGAAGTGATTAATATTAAAATTAATAGAGACTATTTTGTAACTAGCTTTGTAAAGTAATACTAAAAAAAATTTATACATATACTTGGTTATAACATATTTTTTTTAAGAATTAATAATTTTTAGTATTAATAATACTAAGAAATATAATACTTATAAGTACTTACCTACGAATCACAGTTGACTTTTGTATAATTTCTTTTGATTTTATCTCTACAAAAATTCGAGGGCAATAATTTATAGTGTAAAATTTTATGATTGTTGCGTAGATAGCTACTGCTATCAATTTTAAAATATCTGGTCAAAAACACTTTATAGAAATTGATGTTTATCTAATGTTATCAGATTCTGTGATAAATATCAATGTTGTGCGTTCTGTTTGTAGAGAACGCGCGCACTATTCTTCGATCGAGGTGTCGTACTGAGATATACGCTTTTTTTAAGACGTTAATTTGAAATCGCTCCCATCGAGTATATTTCATTAGCAAACAAAGACATGCTATTTATATAATGTACAGGAGCTACCAGATTATTGTACTCGTGTTTTAAGTAGAATTAAAAATAAGTTATTAAAAATTTATACCATAATAGTATCCTAATATATTTGAGACATCAATAGCTACTAAAAGTAAAAATGAATTATTTGTCTTTTCCTTTCTAATCGCCTTTTTCTAATATTGGCTAATTCGAAGTTCGTATCTGGAATTCGACTTGGTATTTCAAATATTAATTTATATTTATAATATTTGAAATTAAATATTAATTAATTAATGTCTTAATATTAACGCTACATTACCTTTCATTTCCATTCGTGTTTTATTCATATGCAGTGTCTGCCATGAAAACATTTATGCGAAGTCGTAGAGCTCCAATTTCGCATAAATGCTTGTATTCGTCGCTTTTATTCTGGAAATTTCGACGTTAACAACGAGCCACGTGGCCGACTAAAGACAAAAGTCGCTCATAACATATTATTACAAATGATAGTAGGAGTAAATTACTATCAAACGACATCAGAGTTAGAGGTACGATTTGGCATAAGTGACCAAATTAAATTGATTTATTTGCGGTGACTTAGAGGAAATAAGAAGCGTTGAAATTGGGCACCGTATGAAATTACTGTAGAGTAACTGCGCAATCTAGAACGAAAACCAGAGCCGTTTTAGGTAAACTTCATAGTACGCGAACAGACTGGGCTTGATTTGATTGAATTGTTGGATGCAATTTAAAGAGCTGATTTACGCACGCCCTCGGCGATGAAGGAAAACATCGTGAGAAAACCTGAAAGTCTGAGAAATAAAAAATATAAGAAATTCGAAAATGTGAAGTCCGTCAATAACATCATAGCTTATTTTAATTTGTTCTTTTACATAATTGATTCTGCATCCGCTTGTCGCTTGTGGGCTTGTGATCTATTGTAACTGTCATAACCGACGTGGTTGGCAGAACGATTGATGATCACAGTACCTAATTGCAGTAGCAAATGAAAAAGTCGTAAGTATTTTTTGTTAAATAATGGGTTACTTAAAAAGGAATTATTATGGATTTCAGTATCTATCAAAGTTTCAAAATTATTACTTTCACTTAAAAACACGCACCTTGTATGGAATTCCCTATATTATGTGCATGAACAAAATTAAATTCTCTTGATAATTCTTTAATATTTCTCATAGTTACGGGAATACTATACAATGAATAGAATGAAAATTAGTATTACTTAACAGACATAAGAAAAATAAGAGAAGGCCTGTGGCCAGTTGTAGGACCGGGCGTATAGCCTTTAATTTTTACTTTAAGCAAGGGCAGTATTGCTATTATTGTTATTTTGGTTAGTTATTTTGGTTTATTTTAGTTAGGTTTAGTTTAGTTATTTTGGTTATTAGTTATTTTGGTTTAACTTCTCACGTTATTTGAAAAAAAAATGATAATAATAGCGTTCATCTGATTCATTGGCTGGTTAGAAGTTTCTCCTTTTTTTAAATTACATGAATTTATTTTATTTTGTTCATGAAGGACCATACAAATATATACATCTGAAAGTACAAACATTTGGATAATTTAATAACACCTTTATAACGATAATATCAAAATTTACTCACCATTACTAAGGATCTGAATGTTTTAAAGGTAGCTTAATCCAGTAGATTAGACGAGAATAGTAACAGTAATCCTTAGACAAAACGCACAAAGGTTCTTGAGGTTTTGATCGTCACCTGATTACTTGTTAAATCGTTTACACTAATTATTAACATGCGCAGATATTGAATACACAAAATTACACAATGTTTGTATATCGAAATTCACTTTAAAACGTTATTTTACTAATTTTTAAGCTTTTCTTGACATAGAATTTAATTTCTCGTTAGACGTTATAATGAAGTGCAATTTATTTCTGTTATTTACTCCATGGTGAAACTTTATGTCCATAAAAATAATGATATTACTTTTAACTTGAACTTAGAGATATCTGCAATGGAGCTAGTGTAACGGACGTAACCTAACAGATCGGTAAGGTAAAGTGAAAATAGTCGTAAATGTAGTTCGAATAGCCGACAAGCAATGGGACAGAAAAGTACTCGAGAGGCAGCCTCGTACTGCACGCGCTCGCTATTCTTGTGCTGTATTGTTTTTAAAGAAGGGGAGGCAAACAAGCATACGGCTCACGTGATGAAAAGTGATCACCGTTGCTCATGAACATCTGCAACACCAGGGGAATTGCAGGTGAATTGCCGGCCTTTGTGTGTTTTTATGATGATGTATTTGTGGGAGGCCTTTTTTTACGATTTACTTGTGAGCTGTAATGAATAACGTCATACATTAGATACATATCTTCTAGGGGGGATGTCGTCATAGTTGCCACATTTTGCAGGCGGATAATAAATCGCAGTTTATTTTTATTAAGTTGTTATCAGGAAGATGCTGCTGTTCACAACATGTTTCAGTTTCCCTCTGTTAACTCTTGCACGGAATGATATAGTGTATCATAGGATAGGATTCTCTTAAGGCATCACTATTTTACAAATGATGAGCTAAAATATATTTTTCATATATTGGCTACTGATAGCTCTATTGTTTATATCTTGAATGCAAATAAAGATCAGATATTAATTCCAGCTGGAATTCGCAAGTCATTTCCAAATAATTCAATTGACGAAGTACATACATATTTGGCGTCGATTGTTGATAGTATTTAGACGATGATGTCATCTTTATATATATATATATATATATATATATATATATATATATATATAATAAAAGTAAATTCACGCAACAAGAAAAACCTTTATAGACGTTCTTTACTATAATTTATTTAATACTAGCTGTGTCCGCAACTTCGTTCGGGTAGAATTAGTACTTTTGTTATGATAAATGATGAAGATTTATTTGTATTTTCAAGTGTGGCGTAATATACCAAACCAGCGACGGGTGACACAGTCAAAACCGCGATTCGTCTTTTCTAAAATAGAATGATAAATGAGAATCAAAAAATAGAGTGACAAATGAGCACACAGCCCACCTGATTGTAAGT